AGGAATGCCATATGGCCCAGGGGGATGCTTTGAAGATAGCTAGTTTTTCCTTGTGTTTCTTGTTTTACTCAGCACCATCCTACATGCTCGTATGGAGTAGGTCACTTGATCAAGAGAACCCTGAGACCAACACGATTTTATCACCTTTCACTGATGAGGAAACTGAGGCTTGGCGAGGTCAAATAACCTGCCCCTGCATACAGAGCTGGAAAATGGCTTTAGGCAGGCACCCTAACACTCTCCCTCAGAGCCCCCCTCTTATCCACTCACATGGAATAGTCCAGACTGTCCCCTTCCTAGGACACAGATGCCCTTTTATGGTCATGGAAGTGGGAGCCCCCCCACCCCACCTCACCCCACCCCTGCTGGGCTCTCTGATTCTCACCACCCTTTGTCGGGTGGGTGGTGGCAGCTTGGGTTTTTGGTCAAGAGGTTAACTTTCCACATCCCCCTGGAGGTGGGGAGTAAAGATTTCAGTTTAACCAAGGGCCCTGGTCAACACGGACCACGATGTCCTGGGCAACTTTGGAGACTCAAGATGTCCAAATGTGCAAGATCTAAGGACCTGTCTGCATATGTCGGTTGATAATCACGTTTTTAACCTTAGTCGCTTTTTCTGTTTTCACCCCATTTTTTTTTTCAGGCCATGACTTTTTTTGTTCCCCTCATGCACGATGGATATGTGCTTTTCTTTCTGAGCTGTACCCTCTGTAACTCCTGTCACTCATTCCCATGGTCTTAGCTCCCACAGTAATTTTCCATGACTTCCCTCGACTTAGGGAAATTCAAACCTCTATGCCCACAGAACTCTAGGGCATAGAGGCTATTGAATTCAGTGGAGCCGAAGACCTTTAAATGGTGCATCTGGTCCACTGGATTCCCTATCATCAACAACCACCTGGAGGAGGCGAGCAGCGTCCCCCCCCAGGGGGACTAAGTGACAGTCACCCAGAAATGAATAGAAAGCATTTCTGAAAAGCTCATTGTTAAGTGTCTATTAAAGACTACCTATATGCCTGGGCTGAATACTAAAGCACAGAAACATTTCCCAAAAAGCTACAGTCTGATTGCACTCAAAAGAATAATTAAATGGAAATGTATTATATGCAATCAAGGGTTCAAATGGGCAGAATGTGATCCAAGTGCTCAAACTCTGTGGTATAATCATGTTTCAAATACACACCTACAGTATCAAGCAGGGTCCTATCCTGTTGGTGAAAAATCAATGTGAAGTCCACAACTGTCTGTGGGAAACTATGACGTCACTGTAACATCAGTCAGGATTTTCTCTCTGGCATTTAATTGTTCCTCTTTTCTTTTCTTTCTTTTTTTTTAACCTCATTTGAATATCCTTGAACTATCTAATAAGAAAGGCAGTCATTGTGGCCACAGACAGTTCTTCCTGTTGCCAATAAGAATTGTTGCCTCATTACCTACTTGCCCCTTAGATGTAATTTCAATAATGCATTCTCTAGGTTGATGCAGTTTTTAAAACTGCGGGATCTTCCGTTAGGAATCCAACTAATGACAGCCGCCTCCCCCTGAAATGCATCTGCAGGGAGCCCCGATGCCGATGCCGCAGAAAGGATCCCCGAGATCTCCTGGGAGAAAGACCTTCGTGGCCTTTGCAGCCAACATCAGACTTTGAAGAAGAGAAGACAAATGCTGCCGGGAGAGGACCGGACACAGAGGCCTCCTGCATTCCTTTTTCTGCGTGTCGGGCTCAAGATAAGTTTTTCCATGAAGCAGTCCAACCCCTGTTGCTGCAAGACCTGGTTTTGTGTGGGTTTTTTTTTTTCCTTAAACAAGTCAGTAAACTCACTGGAACTTCTGTCGAGTCTGGTGACTGTATACATGGGTGCAAATTTAACTTGACACGTTACTTTCTTTCTAGAAAACAATTTATATTCAAACAACCATGGAATCCCAGCATTGAAAGGGCCTTAGCAGCCATCCAGCCCAAACACCAAGTTTCCCAGAGCAGCTGAGCCGAGGTCCCAGAGTTAGATATTTCTCATGTCCCTCTGAACATCATCAGATTGGTGATTATTCTTGCTGGGAAGGTGGGTGGATTCTGGGGTCTTGGTTTGGTAGTTTGTGGGGAGCAGAAACTTTTTAAAAAAATTATATTTAAAGAAAAATGTCAATGTTATTCTTTTCATCTTCCCTAAGAGGGGACTGAGACCCAGAGGCTCCGCGAGGAGAGTTTGAATCAGGCCAGTTGGGTTCCATCGCCTACAAGCCTCTACACTCTGTCAGTCATCCCACGCGACTAGAACATTTGGACAAACTCAAGAAAAAAGCAGGGGGGAAATAACTTTTAAAAAGAGATTAAAACTGTTCTATTTATTTTTTTTAGCCACCCAACAGCCTCAGGTATCGATTCCTCTGTTTTTCTATTTTTCTTTTTCTCTCTAGAAAAGTCTGTACTTTTGAAAATTCCAGCATGTTTGTTGTTTTATTATAAATCTCCCCTGAAATATATGAAGATTTGAAAAATCCCTCTGCCAGCTGCCCACGAAATAGAATGAGGAGTTTCAAATCGCAGGGCTGGAAAACCAACCAAAACAGAAGAAAGACATGAACTAGTTGAGGCACAACAGGACAAAGGTTGAAAGAGCAGTAGCAGCCACCAACAGAGTTTGTCCTAGCAGACCCGTGCTCAGAACCGGGGGGAGCTAGAGCCAAGAGATTGCTCTGAGCAGGAGACCAGCGTGTGGTCACTGCTTGGGCTAAGATCTCATCCGGAAGGAAGCTTTCACGTGCGCAGTGACCAGGAGACCTGAGAGAGCCCTGGCTTAGACTGCACGCAGGACCAGGAGAGAGGGATCTGATGTCAGAAAACAGGCCTGATTAGCAAGTTCAACTGAGTCAAGGTGAATTGGCCCAATAGGGTAGAACCTTACTTGTCAGACCTCCCTGGATTTAGTCTGCCTTCCCCGATCTGAGGTGGCAGTGCAGTAAAATGGTTTTGACTATGATTATGCAGAAAACATGGGGAGGAGGTATTTCAGAGAGGAGAGCGTACAACCGTAAGAAAAGGGGACATCTGGTCCGGGGGGGTGGCACCCAGAAGGTCCCGACAGCAGCACCAGCAGGTTGCTATTGACTCGTTCGCATCCAAGAATTCAACAGAAGGACCTTAACAAAGGTCCTGTTTGTTTCCCTCCAAAATAACAGCTGCTTCACTCACGATTGGCACATCCATTGAGCTCAACGGGATTTTCCTTTTTCTTCAAATTTTACAGTTTATCAAACAGAAATTTAAAAGAATAGGAAAGTTAAAAAAGAAAAAGAAACGAATATCTATACACCACCCCCTACAAGAATTGGTTCATGTCAACCTTTGGCCATAGTTCAAGATCTTTTAAAGGTAAAGTTGAAGCTCCTTGGTTTCCTGTCCAAGACCATTGTCCCCTCTCCCTCTCCAGAGGCAACCTCTATCGTGAGTTTAGCAAGCATCCTTCCCAAGGTTTTAAACCTGCACCCTATATTAGCACAGAGATACATCAGAAGACAGCGTCTGCCACTTCCAGAATGTTACAGGCATCAGATTGTAGGTATTAATCAACAATTTGCTATTTTCCAGCCAATATGTTTTGCAATCTGGTATTGTACCTCACACAGAGTCTCCGTGACCACTAGTTTAGAGAACTATTAAATAATAATAATAATAATAATAATAATAATAAAAGGATGATTTCCATAGGAGAAAATGTTTCTATTAGATAATGAAAGATTAAAGTGATGATGATTATGATCAAAAGAAAGACATTAAAAGCACTCAGCTGCACCTTCAAGGGTATCATGAATACCTGTGACCTATTGCATTAAAAAACACATCATTTTTAAAAAATTGCAATGAGCCCTAATCAGCCTAGCTACTTTTGTTTTTACTTCATGGAGATATTTTATTCAAATGAAAGAGCTCTACAAATGAAAGCACATTGTCCCCCAACAATTAAATTATTCTGTCTCTTGCCCCACAAAGTTCATTGAAGTTGAAAAAAGTAAATATTTATGTTCTTCTCTTTTTATAGTTTCAGCTTATTTAGGTTAGAGCTTGCTTTAATTTTTTTAAAAGCTTCAATTGATTTTTAGATAAAGAGGAAGGGAGAGGGAGAGATAGAAACATCGATTGGGGATTGAGGCCACAACCTAGGCATGTGCCCTGACAGAATCAAACCAGCAACCGCTTGGTGCAGGGGTCAACGCCCAACCACTGAGCCACACCGGCCAGGCAGGGCTTGATTCAATTTTTTATCCTTATTTCTTCATAGTTTGTAATTCCCCTACGCTGAGAGATATACTTTTTCCATTTCTTAAATTATGCAGAATAATAGTATGTAGGAAGGGCTCATTTTTAGTGTATGCATGTGGTTTTCTCTCATTATTTCATTGCAAAGCAATATTTTTTTAAAGACCTCATGCTGGTGAGTGGAAGTTGACATAATAATAGAGCATAACAACGTTTTTGGAGTCTGAAGGTCTGTGATGTAAACCCTCAAGTTTGTTTTTAAAAGGTTTTCATAATCCATGGTATAAATATACTTATTTACATAATTTCCAAAACATGTGCTTTAAAGCCACAGTCCTTCCGGCGTTATCTGTTAGCAACTACTACATGTGGGATCTGTGAGCTTGAATTCCAACACACCATTTTGTCATTTTTAAATTTTGTAAGAGATGGATTTCAGACAGACTTACCCCATCTGGCTTCAGGAACACGTCTTCAGCACGTCATCCACTTTAAGGAAAGAAGGTTCCCATGTTTTCATACACGTGGTCTCTGTGGAATTCTATCAGGGGGAACAGAAGTAAAATAAATGTTCATGGGTGTTGAACTTTAAACTGGCCTCCTCGGTAACATTCTGCAATCCCTCCTATCATCTACTTTTTGTTTTGCCCCGTAACCTCTGACCAAGGCCCTGGGGGTTTAGTGGAAGTCAGAAAAGACAGCACATGCCGCCCGCTGGACACATGTGTCTGAGTGGTGTCATGTGGACTTGATCTACCCTGTCTCAGAGCAGAGGGGAGAAAGGGAGGACTTTGCTTATCTGTTTGGCTTGCAGGGAAAGCACCTGAATGCAACCTCTCTGGGTGTTTCCAGACTCAGATGAAACCAAAGGGCAAGGAGAGCCAGAAGCCCCTGGGACCAAGCCCTCTGCTCGGTCTTGCCTGGGCCTTCACCTGGCCCTCTGTAAGTTTCTCCAAAAAAGAATCCCTCTTGATGTTTTGCTTTTAGGTCACTTGTTGGTATCTTTCTAGGCTTTTCAGTTCGACAGAGGGTCTTCTCTTGACCCTTGGAGGACTTCCATTTTTGACTACATTGAAAAATTTTTTGCAGGTTATCTTTTATTATAACTTCTCATGACAATTTGTTTACTAATGTCTTCTCTGCATTTCATCTTTTAAAAATAAAATGGAGATGCCCAGCTGGTGCGGCTCAGTGGTTGAGTATCAACCTACGAATCAGGAGGTCAGGGTTCAACACTCTGTTGGGGCACATGTGCGGGTTGCATGTTCGATCCCCAGTAGGGGGCGTGCAAGAGGCAGCAGATCAATGATTCTCTCTCATCACTGATGTTTCTCTTTCTCCCTCTCCCTTCCTCTCTGAAATAAATAAAAATGTATTAAATAAAATGAAGTAAACATTAAATAAATTAATTAAATTAAATGAGAACAGTAAGGATAAGGGGAAGAGAGTCAAAGAAGAAGACTGGATGCCAGCAGTCCCTCAGTGAGCTCCGCCTCACTTGGCCCTTCCCACCTGTCAGTGGATCCCTCATTTCAGTCCCTGATGGTCCCCTTGACCTTGAAGACAGCTTTCTGGGAGAAGTTCGTAGTGTCACACCTAAAATCATTATTCTTGGCTGCTCAGTAGGGGATAGAGGCTAAAATATTCCCTCTAGGAAGCTGTAATCCCAGCCCTAAGGATGACTTAGTAGGGCCTGAAACAAACTCTCTTATCTCCAGATAAGTAAGCTTACGATTAAAATTCTTGATTTGTTGTCTGCATAACTTTCTCACGCTGAGGTGATTGAGAGGAATGATGGATATTCTCCTTCCGTCACTCTAGATCCACTTTCCACTCTTCTTCCACCCAAATATGGTCTTTTTAAACACTCAATGCAGACAACAGTATAGTCTTAAACCATAAAAAGACCAGGCTGCCCAGTGCCTTAATACCATCATCATCATCATCATCATCATCATCATGAAACACCTATTAAGCACCTGCTGTTTGCAGGACCCATACAAAGAAATGTAAGATGCAGTTCCTGCCTCAGAGGTGTCTCTAATAGTGTGTGACTATAAGACATGCGTATATTTGCATGAAATTAAAAGATAAATAGGCTTAAGGGGAATGATACGGAAAGTGTCTGCTCAACCACACATGCAATAAATTCTGCATGAGTTCAGGAAAGGGAGAGAAGAGGGTAGCCTCAGGTATTTTAAAAATAACCTTAGTAAAGAGGTGGGAAATGACAGGATTGAGATTGAGAGAGAGGAGGGCCTTGGATCTTTCAAAGCGACGTGTGTGTGTGTGTGTGTGTGTGTGTGTGTGTGTGTGCAAAGACTTAAACAGAAAGGAGCCCAACCTGACCTGTCAGAGGCGGGAGCTTGAAGCTGAAGGTTTGTTTTAGCTGCAGGGCAAGGACTGCCTCCCTTTTATATGTATATAAAGCCCAGGCTATTGGGTGTACCGGGAAGTGTTAAATCACAACGTGTGCCTTTGCTATGGAAACAAAATTTAATGTTTGTCTTCTAGCCAGTTTATTAAGAACAGTGTGAGGTACTTATCTTTGAAGGATTGAGAACTGTGGGTTTTTGTTTTGTTTTTAACTTACTTAATACTGATAACATTGGCTTATATTTTTTTTTCATGTTTTAAAATTAATACACACAGTAATATGTATGTACTACAAACATGAAAACACACCCTTTGTAGCAGACAGTCCTGTGAGTTTTGACAAACATACAGCTGTGTAACCACAACCACAATCAAGAGATCAAAGAGTTTCATCACCCCCCCCAAAATTCCCCTGCACCCTTGGCAGGCAACCCCCCTTCCTCACCTCCAGCTTCCGGGAACCACGGATCTATTTTCTGTCCCTACAGTTTTACCTTCCCCAGGATGTCATGTCAACAACGCATGTAATTTAAAAACAATTTTTTTAAATATATTTTATTGATTTTTTTACAGAGAGGAAGGGAGAGAGATAGAGAGTTAGAAACATCGATGAGAGAGAAACATCGATCAGCTGCCTCCTGCACATCTCCTACCGGGGATGTGCCCGCAACCCAGGCACATGCCCTTGACCGGAATCGAA